CAATCATCTGGAGAGGCCTCTCAAGGGCACTGGGAGACATAGCCACCCCGAAGAGAGGAGGAACCTCCCACACTTCTTCCTCGTTGGGTGCTGTTTCCTCTACTACCGGCTCCACTTGGCGTTCGTCCGAGTCCACAAGGATCAAGTCTAGCATGTCCGGCGGCACCACAATGGGATCTAAGGAAGAATCCCCCAACAAGTGGCCACCATTGGCCAATCTCTTTTGCCTCAGCTTCTCTAGCCGAGCCTGCTCCTTTAGGCGAATGGAGAAGCGACGGTCATCGGTTCGATAACTCATGACGGAGGCTGCTAAATCAGAAGGTGTGAGGAAATGCCAAGTGAGAATGACCCTTTATATAGCTCAAAATGGGAACGAATATCCAGGCGGGAATCATGGGAAGAATCATAACTGCCATAGCGCAGGATTAGGTGGGATTTGAGAATCTTTGTCAGAGAATAGTTCCATCAACAGCGCTCGGGAAGAAAAAGATTCGCACGCTAAACTGAAAAAGTGAGATTTCCCCAAGATAAGGATCACAGGTGTCAGACTTTAAAGATTTGTCGTTTGACCGACTCCAAAGCAAGTCGACCAACACACTTGGGCGAGTGAAAAGGTGGGGACCTCGGAAATAAAGGATAATATTATTCAATCAAGAGAAATGACACATAGGGAAAAGAGCTTATTACATCATGACGAAAATAAATAAGGTGTTCCTTTTGTGGCCCTCTCGAAAATACGGAGGCGGATTCCAGTTGAGGCGATCACTCGTCCGGGGAGGAAGGGTCGCTCCTAAAGAACATCTCCCCTGATGGTCCAGTGGGAGACGGGCAGAAGGAATCCCAAAAAGTTGGCATGATCGGCGGCACCACCGGCTCTTCATCATCCGGGTACAGCTCCAGGTATCGAGCAAAATCAGCATCAGTCATCAGGTCCGTAGCTGGCCCATCTAGATCGTCGAGTGGAATGGTGAAAGTCATACGGAAGGATAACTGCTCCGGGACGGCCACTTCAACAAAAGACCCGTTCTGCGCAGTAACCCTGGCCGTAGTTGGAGGCAGCGAGTTGGCCGAGGCCGGAACGTTCGCCGTGAGGGAAGAAATAGGAGTCGGCGGCTGCAGAATAGAGGAGGTGGCACCCGTGGAAGGTCTCCGGGAGGCAGGCCGAGGAGCCTTCTTCTTGCCCTCCCTCTCGAGCCTTGACCGCTTAGAAGGTAGAGGGCGTCGAGGCGACCCAAAATCTATCCGCTTTCCCTTCAGAGGTGAGCGACCCATGACTAGATCAATGAGATGATGAGAGGGTGAAGAAACTAAGTGGCTATTTATAGGATTCCCCAGGAAAGAGGAAGAATCCAAACGACTCCGGCGAATCAGGAAAGATAGCGGAGAATCAGGACGTTATTTAGGCAATTAAGAGAGAAGATCTGCTGATTAAGAGGGAGGGAAGTTACTACTTTCCCACACCCGAGTTAGAGGACTGGGTATGAGAAAGTGAGGGACTAGTTAATGGGGTGAGGACCCCGACCCAAGAAGGCAGGCCCAAGAGAAGAGGCCCAGAATGGAGAAGAGCCCAGAATGGGTAGGTAGCGGCCCGAAAAGTGAGAATACGAGTCAGTAGTAAGGACCGGTAGAGACCTGGGCCGAGTCTAGGAGTCGGCCCAGGCCCAGGCTGGAGAGAAAGACTCGGCTTAGAGCCGTTGAGAAGCATTCATTGCAGCATTCAAAGGGCTCGGCCAAACGAACCGTTAGGGAAGCCCAAGGAGCCGTTGGCCGGCCCGGTAACGGCACCCAACGGCCCCAAAATGTAATTAGCCTTGAAAGCAGGCCTTCAATGTACATTAACTCGGCTAAAGGGGGGCCAACTATATAAAGGCCCCTCCATCCTTGTAAAAGGGGGGAGTCCATGCCTAGAGAATAAAGAAACACGCTCACTACCACTGCTTGTTATATTCTATTTTTAGTAGCTTTGTTGAAAGGTGTATCCACCAACCAAGGTTGTGTTGGACCTCCCTTGGCCCAAAAACCTTAAAACCAACAAGTATTATTAAGGTAAGTACTTATTTTATTTATTATTATTATTATTGGTAAGTAATTATTATTAATTAATTGGTTTTAATTAATTTCCAATCAAATTATAGTATATTTATTTATTAGTGTTGCAACATATGTAATGTACATATATATATATATATATATATATATATATATATATATATATATATTATTAGGGCGTAATAATATATTTAATTTAATATTCAATACAATAATAATAATAATGTAATAAAAGTAAAATTATATTAGAAAGTAATGATTTGATATAAAACTTTACCAATAAATGTAAACACAATAAATGTATTCATATTGCTAATCTCATTTTACCAATTATTATTATTTTTTTTATTCTTACTATTACTATTATGATTATTATTATTATTATTATTATTATTATTATTATTATTAAATAATAAATAATAAATAATAAATAATAAATAATTATTAGACAAAGTTTAGGATTGTCAGAATTATGAAGAAAGTTTAATAAGAATAATAAGTATTATTATGGTAAGTACTTATTTTGTTTATTATTATTATTATTGGTAAGTAATTATTATAATTAAATAATTATTAGACAAAGTTTAGGGCTGAACTTATCGGAAAATTATGTTGTGCATCCGTATGCACCATGCATGGTGCATACAGATGCAAAAACGACGTCGTTTTATTAAAAACGCGCGTCTCCCTTTTTTTTAAAAAAAAATATTCAGGTTCGATTCCCAGCAACAACTTATGAATTAAAATTCCAGAATTGATGAACTATAATTCCATAATCGATGAATTATAATTCCAGAATCTATGAACTAAAATTCCAGAATATAATCTATGAACTAAAAATTCCATAATGAATGAACTAAAATTCCAGAATCTATGAACTAAAATTTCAGAATCGATGAACTACAAATCCAGAATCGATGAACTATAATTACAGAATCAATGAACTAAAATTTCATAATCTATGAACTAAAATTCCAGAATGAATGAACAACATAATGCTGTTGCTGGGAATCGAACCTGGTTTTTTTTTTAAGGGGAGACGCGCGTTTTTAATAAAATGACGTCGTTTTTGCATCCGTATGCACCATGCATGGTATGGTGCATACGGATGCACATCATAACTATCCGAACTTATCCCTGCAAATATCTCTCACTCTAAAAAATGGGTCTCACTTCCACATCATCCCATTTGCAAATCATCTACAATTCACACTACATCCCTGCAAATCCAATCAACCTTCAAAAGTGGGCCCCAATTTCACTTCACTTAAAAAAATTAATATTTTTTTCTTAATAAATATTATTTTGTCTTCAACATTATTAATTTATATCAATATATAAAATATATTTAAATATTAAATATTAAATAAGTATTATTAAGGTAAGAACTTATTTTGTTTATTATTATTATTATTATTGGTAAGTAATTATTATTATTATTAAATAATTATTAGACAAAGTTTAGGATTGTCAGAATTATGGAGATGATTTAATAAGAATAATTAGTATTATTAAGGTAAGTAATAATAATTTTCTTTCTATAAGAATAATTAGTATTATTATTATTATTATTATTATTATTATTATTATTATTATTATTATTATTATTATTATTATTATTATTGTTATTATTATTGTTATTGTTATTATTGTTATTATTGTTATTATTGTTATTATTGTTACTATTGTTACTATTGTTACTATTATTATTATTATTATTATTATTATTATTATTATTATTATTATTATTATTATTATTATTATTATTATTATTGATGGGGTGAGAACCCCGGCCCAAGAAGGGAATCCAAGATAAGGAACGTGGGCTAGCAGTGAAAGAAGCCCAGTGGGAACTTGGGCCGAGTCCAGGAGTCGGCCCAGGCCCAAGTCCACAAAGGGACGGCTCAGAGCCGTTAGGCGACCGTTGAGAAGCCTCATTTAAGAAGACCCGGCCCCGGAGCCGTTGGAGGCATTCAAGGCAGGACTCGGTCAGACCGTTATGGATCCAAGGAGCCGTTGATCAATCCGGTAACGGCGCCCAACGGCTCGACAATTGTAATTAGCCTTGAAGTCAGTCATTAATGGCCTTCAAGTCGGTAGGAGGGGAGCCTGCTATATAAAGGCTCCTCCGCCCTTGTAATCCAGACAGGTTCATCCCAAGAGAAAGGGGAGACACACTGAAAGCTATTACGAGTACTGCCATTTCTTTGCAATTTTGTGTGAAAGGTGAATCCACCAACTAAGGTTGTATTGGACCTCCCTGGGCCTGAAAACCCAAAAACCAACACTAGCGCCGTCTGTTGGGATCGAACTAAAGAGCTACGTGACTCTCTAAGCTAGGCGAGTCCCGAAGTCGAACGAAAAAGCGTCACGAACATGTCGGAAGGACGAGACCAAGCAAACAACCGGAACAACGGGATAGAGGCAGATCTAAGAGACCAGTTGAACCAAGGAAATGAAATGGCACCGGTGAACCGGCAGCCGCCTATGATACCCCTAACCCCGGAACAACTCCACGCGATCGGACGAGCCTTCGCCGACGCGAGTCGAGGAGTGAGGGAACAGTCGGTTTCTCGGCCAATGCCTCGCCATCAACAACTGTCCCAGAGGCCGAAAGACGGACAGGAAAATCGACGGGCGGAAAGCCAGCCAGTACGATCAATCCTCTCAAGGCTGGGTCCGAATGCTGGGCGGCAGCCTGCGCAAGAACGACTAGGAGAAAGGGAGCCCAGTCGGCACCAGCAGGGCCCCGAGATCGGGAAACCGGTGGAGAAAGAGCTCGTACCAGGAAAACTAAGACTCGGACACGACGTACCGAGCGAGTAACGCACAACGATGACCGACCGGCCCAATCTGAGGTCGGCAAAAGTACGGAATCCACAGGAAACCGCACTCACAATGAAGGCGACGTGGCCAAATTGGCCCGAGAAGTACGAGATCTGAAAGAACAAATGGGGGGAAAGACCAAATCCCCTGGGCAGACGTTGCTCACAGCTTTGCCATTCTCTTCCGAGATCATGTCCTACAAAGTACCCGGCGACTTTAAATTTCCGGAACAAGCCACCTTCGACGGATCCGGAGACCCACGCGAACATCTGCTTAGCTATCAAGCCAAAATACAGGTCTTGGGAGTGCGAGACCCGGTGATGTGTCGCGCCTTTTTGCCCACGCTGAAAGGCTCAGCACAAAGGTGGTTAGTGGCGCTGCCTTCCAAGTCGATCCATAGTTTCGAAGAATTGGCCGACCGCTTCATGAGCCACTACGGGGCCAACATCAAGCCTCAGAAGGACCTGACTCACCTGGGAGACGTTCACCAAGAGGAAGGCGAATCTCTGAAAACCTATCTAGCCCGCTGGCAGAAGGAAATTCAGTCTATAGAGGAGGTCGAAGATCAGACTGCGCTCACCTTTTTCATCGAGTCTTTACGATCCGGGCAATTGTACCGGGATCTGCGGGACAACCGCCCGGCCACCTACGCGGAAGCCATACATATGGCCAACAAGAGGGCCAACACGGAGCAAGCCATGAAGCACAAACGACAACGCAAGGTCGGAGGATCCGCCGGCGGGAAGAGAACGCGAGCCGAAACGAAGGAAAGGCGCCCGGAAGTGACCCGGCGACCAGATGTCAGACGACCATACGACAAGCCCGTCGCACACCCTTACCGGCCGGTTCCCGAACGGCCAGTACATGAGATACAAGCAGTCGCTCCTCCTCCGCCTTCGCCGACTGACGACCACGCGATAAGCGATGAGGCAGGTAAGACCTCTAAATACTGTCGTTACCACAAGTCTTATACTCACAGCACGGAAGAGTGCTTCTATTTGAGGAAGATCATAGAAGGTATCCTCCAGCAAGGGACCCCGCCTCCTAATCAGTGGAGGCGGAGGTCGGCTACTCGGGGAGACGGGGATCCCACCGCCGCCGCGGAGAGCAGCCGGGGCAAGCAGCCGGCTTCTGAAGAGGACGAAGCCCAGTGGCGTCAAAATCCAGTTATTAACATGATAGTCGGCGGGCCCGAGGGCGGCGACTCGGCGAATACCAGAAAGGCCTGGGCTCGACAGCTATACGTCGGGACGATATACGGGCGTGAAGAAAGCTCGAAGAAGGCGTGCCGAAAACCGATCACGTTCACTGACAAAGATCTACCCGTGGGAGAGACATCGCATCGGGACGCATTGGTTATAGCGATGGATGTGAATGGAGTGGTTGTTCGGCGAATCCTGGTCGACACCGGAAGCAGCGTCAACGTGCTTTACCTCGAGACTTTCACCAAAATGGGATTGACCCGAGAACAGCTGAACCCCGTCAAAACTCCACTCGCCGGTTTCACAGGGGACTCGGTGGAGGCAGAAGGATCCATCACTCTACCAGTCGAGATTGGCAGTTATCCCGACGTACAGAAACTCAGTATGAAGTTCATCGTGGTGAATCTGGCCTGTTCGCATAATGCTATACTCGGCCGGCCAGGTCTGGAGGATCTAGGAGCCCTGATTTCTATCGAGCACCTTTGCTTGAAGTTCCGCACGCCCAATGGGATAGGGACGGTGCGTTGCGACAGGAGAGTCGCCCGCAACTGTTACCTACAAGCCTGTAGAGGAATGGGCAAGCGTGAGATGTAGGTCCATGAGATCACGGAAAGACCCCCAAAGAAGACGATGATACCTCGCCCTGAGCCGGCGGTGGAATTGGAAGAAGTTGAGATCGATCCCGATCAGCTGGATAGGCGGGTCCGAATTGAAGTCGGCCTCCCTGAGGAAGTATGAGAAGAGGTCATTAGAGTGCTCCGAGAGCACCGGCTGGTTTCTGCCTGGGGTCCGGAGGACATGCCTGGTGTCGACCGATCCATCATTGCTCATCGACTCGCCGTAGATCCCGGCCATCGGCCGGTTGTGCAGAAAAAGCGATATCTCGCCAATGATCGGAGGGAGTTTGTGAAGAAGGAGGTGAGTGATAAACATTATTTTTGTTGATATTTTTAATAATATTTTTATAGTTAATATACAATAATTGATTAATTTTATATCTATTTTTATTTATTATTGTGATTAGTAGCTTTGTTAATATTATTCAGTTTTAGGTTATTTTACTTATTAAATTTGTTTTATTATTTGAATTCTTTCAGTCCAATAATTCCTTGATCCTAATTTAATAATAATAATATTAATTTTAGTAATACATGATCAATAGGAATTTAATAAATGTAGATTAGTTATATATGGACTCTAATAAGATTATTATTATTATTATTATTATTATTATTATTATTATTATTATTATTATTAGTTAATAAAATGTGTTAGTCATCCCAAATAATTAAGTTATCCCTATTATTATCAAGTTTAATAATCTTTTATAACTTATTTGTAATCAGTTTTATAAATATATATTGTGTTTTAGTATTTTATTATTTGGTTAGTTTTTTTTTTTGACAGCCATCATATTAAGTTTAATAAATGTTAATTCATTGAGTAAAAGACCTTAGCTTGTCTTTCCCTTCGTAAATCAATGTCACCGGAAGGCAAGGATCAAGAGGTTTGACCGATTAATTAGCAGAGGCTTCGATGGCTTCCCTTGGATCAAGGCCTTCTGCGACTGCGGAATTTGAAGAGTTACGGGCAAGGCTGTTTGTATAAAGGGAGGCCAATCTTCAATTGTGGATCATCAATCTTACCCCGGAGCAACTCCGGTTGGTACGGCTGGGTTTGGTTTTCCGGTGACTATTTTCGGTGACGACGAAATTCTGGGTTTGATGAATTTTGGGTGGTGGCGTGGATATTTCTCCTTGGCGTAGCAACAATTTATGATCGGCAACTCTAAGTTAATCCTCGATGGCAGCCATTCTTGTTTAATCAATTTTCGACAACAAAGTCTGCTTAATTTGGTAGCACTGTTTGGCTTTACGATTTCTAGGAATGCATTTTTGTTTTCTTTCCCTTCATTTTTTTATCTTTTCTTTCAGTACAACACATTTGTGAGTCACACTACTTAACTTTTCAGAAAGCATTTCATTTCATTTAATTGCTATATTACTTAATGAATTTATATAATTGGTTTTGAATGATTGCCGTAATTCAATTTGGATTGTATTGAGATGCTAATGACTAGTTTTAAGGAGTTGATTCGGTAATTTGTGTGCTTAATTAGCTTCCTCAATTTGATTTAATTATGTAGTATTCAAATTCATCTTTAGCATTTGATTTCTAGTATTTTATATTATCGTCAATTATCTCTTTAAGTTTAGTAATTAAATTGCGTTGTATCAATTTCCTGTGGGACACTATTACTACAGTGACTCGTGCACTTGCGAGGACTATTCAAATTGTCCATCAATTTTTGGCGCCGTTGCCGGGGAATTGTTTATTTTGCAATTTAATTTTCTGTTTTTTTTTTCCTTTCGTTAATTGCTTGATTTTGTTCCCTACCCCTTCATTATTGTCATCTTTTTCATTCTTTAATCATGCATTTTATTTGATTCGTTCGTCTGTTTAAAAAACTGCTTTATATTTGTTCTTGTTTTCTGCATGCTTTATTTGATTGTTAATTTGTTATTTTGGCTTTTGTTAATTTATTTATTTCGCTTTCTGAATTCTAATTAATTTACATTTGATTTTGAATATGGTCTTTGATATTTCCTCCGTCACTCATTCCTTTACCTCCTAAATTTCACTCTTTTTGCATTTAAGTTATCTTTTATTTTATAGTAGTTTTTGTTTTCCCTATTCCTTTATTTATTTTTTCCCATTTCTTAATATTGCATGTTTTTTTTTTCTTTCCAATCTCTTTATTATAATTATCAATTTTTCTTTTCCTTCAATTTAATTTTGCTCATTTATTTAATTCATTAGTCCATTCTACTTTCTCAAATTTTTTTTCGTTCTTAATCACACAAATATTTAAAAAAATTTACATTTTAATATGTATTCCTTTTTGTCAAACCAAAATAATCCTTTTAATAATGATTTTGGACAGGTAAGTCCAATGAATGATTTTAATCAACGTCCTGTGCAAGACTCGTTTTATAATTCTTATAATTCGGGTTGGGAAAATCACCCTAATCTTTATTGGGGTGATAATCAAAATGATTTTCGACCAAACCAATTTAATTTTTCTTGGGATGATAATCAACATGATTATCAATCAAGTCATCCTAATTTTTGGGATAATAATCAAAATCATTTTCAAGCAAATCATCCCAATTTTTATTCTGATTATTATCAAAATGATTTTCAACCAGTTGAGTCACCACAACCTAAAAAACCATCTTTGGAAGATACCCTGCAGGATTATATACAGACCTTCAATAGGCGGTGATAGGCATATTTTACACTCATATTTTAGGTACATCTTTATAATAATTTTGCATTAATTATTTACTATTATATATTAATTATTCCATTTTAGAATTTAATATATAATATATAATATATAGAATATATATTACGTACTATCTAAAATATATATATATATATATATATATATATATATATATATATATATATATATTTATTATGTACTAGTTTACAGTTTATACATATATATGCGTTACATATATTTTTTAGTATTTATATTTTTATTATTTTAGTATTAGTTTATTCCACTCCCTAATTTCTTAGCATGCAACAAAATATTGAACCTTATATTTTATTTGCTTTGTACATGGCGTGTGGCAAAGAGGAGTCGTCAACATTGTGCGAAGATTGCGGCAAGACTGAGCAAGATCCATTCGTACGGCGCAAAAATAGGAATGAATTGAATGGTAGAATTCTATTTTGAGAATACTATAAATAGAATAAGCTTTCTATTGGAAAATGTTCATTCTTCCCCTCTCGAATATTCTTTAAGGTTGTTATCAATGTCCATTTGTGGCTAATTTCAAGTTGGTTTAGTGAATTGAAGCCCCGGAGTTCATAACGCTGTAAGGTTATTTATTTAATTTTATTATATATATGTTTTTATGCATTTTGAGTATTAAATATTCTTCTAAATTATTTGAATAGTTGTATCATTTAATTGCTAGGGAGGCCTACTAGTTATTTATTTGATATAATTATTTGCTATATTAGATAATGTTGTGCTACAAATTATTCTAATATTCAGTAGCAACTGGGTTAATTATTGACGGCTTAGTGATAATTGGACTCGGGAAGAATATTTTCCTAAATTAAATGCAACCGCTTGTGCTTGTGTTATTTAGTTTGTCGGTTTTCCTAGTTCCTATTGCTGCTATTAAATTAAATCTATAGCGCTTGTCTTAGGTTATTTAGTAGTTAGGGGTAATTAAACCGCTTGTGCTTTATTTACCTACAACTAAGGGAAAACAGAAATGAAATAATTTCACGACAAATATTCAATTGCATATTAATTACTTTATTAATCAATGATCAGTGTTAAATTCCGGTGGTGGATCTTTACTAACCAAGGTTTCTTATTATAAGTGTTTTCGATATATTATTTTCACTGTTTATTCGTTCGATTAAATTTCTCGTTTATTTAATTTCTCTTTTATTTAATATTTATTCTCGATATATTCCAAACCCCCATTATTTCCTTGAGCACAAAAGTTAAACTAGTTACTCCTCGTGGGATCGATCCTTACTCCCGCTACTACGTTTGTAAGGTTTTAATTTGGGAGCCTACGACAGCTCACCAAATTTTGGCGCCGTTGCCGGGGAGATTTTCTAGCTTATTTTGTGTTTATTTATTTATTTATTTCGTTATTTGTTTAATTGTTTTTCATTTGTCCCAAAAAAAAAATTAAAAAAAAAATCTTTTCTTTCGTTACTTTTACATAATTGCTGCAATATCTTTAGTGGTTTATGCCTATAACTCGATCTGCTAACAAAGAAGTCTTGTCGTACGATCCAGAAATTGAAAGAACTGTACGCAGGTGGAGGAAACAAGCTTTGCGCAAATTGGAGTTTAGTTATCTGGCTACCGATTCTACCAATTCTGATTTAGAAGAGGAACCCATAGCTCAAAATCAGACCTTAAAAGAGCTTGCAACTCCAAATTTAGATCAGCAACCTTTGTGCATCACTTTCCCTGCTCTGGATGCTAATGTCCAATTTGAATTGAAATCTGGGTTAATTCATCTTTTGCCTTCTTTTCATGGACTTGCAGGTGAAGATCCTCACAAACACTTAAAGGAATTCCATGTGGTGTGTTCAAGTATGAAACCCACTGGGGTTACTGAGGAACAAATCAAGTTGAGAGCCTTTCCCTTTTCGTTGAAAGATTCAGCGAAGGATTGGCTATACTATCTACCTTCTGGGAGCATCACCTATCTACCTTCTGGGAGCATCACCACATGGAATAACTTGAAGACCATGTTCCTTGAAAAATATTTCCCCGCTTCGAGGGCGGCCAACATTAGGAATGAAATCTGTGGTATAAGGCAAAACAATGGAGAGTCATTGTATGAATATTGGGAGCGTTTCAAGAAATTATGTGCAAGCTGCCCACACCATCAAATTAGTGATCAATTACTCATTCAGTACTTTTATGAAGGACTTTTTCCAATGGATAGAAGCATGATTGATGCTGCAAGCGGTGGTGCTTTAGTTGACAAGACACCAGACGCTGCAAGAACTCTAATTGCGAACATGGCTGCAAATTCTCA